TTTATTTTACACAAATTTTCATAATGGTTTATCATTTTTAGCCTTAAGAAGAAGACAACTATGGAAGCTACAGATAACGAGGATGCAATTTGTAAAACATCAAGTAGTGAAACATCAAGTGACTTGCAATCAGTTCAAACTTTACAAACAGAAAATTTAAATCTAAAATTAGTCCTGAAAGAATACAAAAGAAAATTAAATAATAGAAGTAGTTTATTGAGTAAATATAAAAAGCAAGTCAAAATATTAAAACAGAAGCTGAAGCTTCATTCTGATACATTAACAGATCCAAATTCGGAGGTTCCAATGAATAAATTTTGTAGCCAATTCATTCGAAGTCAATATCGATTAATGATGAAACCTAAAAAAGGCAGAAGGTATGAAAATAGTGACAAAGAATTTGCATTAGCTTTATACTATTGTTCTACTAAATCATATGTGTTCCTTCAGAAAATTTTCTGTCTTCCAAGCATGAGTTCACTGCGATCTTGGCTAAATAATGTGCATGTTACATCTGGTATAAATTTAACAGTATTACAATTAAAAATTAAATCGGAAAAAAAAGCTTCGACAGGAGGAAAAAATTATTTCACTTATATTTGATGAAATGTCATTACAGGAACATTTAAATTACGATGCTCGTGCAGATATTTTTGAGGGATTTGAAGATTTTGGTACTAATCGAGCTACATCATCACGTCAATTATGTAATCAGGCAATGGTAGTTATGGGTTATACTTAGATTTTAAACAAGTAGGTTATTTTTTAAGTAAGGAAGCTATGGCGGCGGACAATTTTAAAGATATATTATTAGAAATCATTGCGAAAGTATCACAGACAGGTTTTTTAATTAAAACAATAGTTTGTGATTTAGGTTCCAATAATTTAAAATTGCGAAGACTACTTTCTGTTACTATCAGTGATCCGTACATTACTTTTAACGAACAAAAAATTTTTTTTCTTTATGATGCACCACATTTATTAAAATGTGTACATAATAATTTAAAAAAATATGATTTTCAACATAAAGATGAAATATTTTCGTGGTCTCATATTGCACAATTTTATTCAATAGACTCTCAATAAATACCTAGAATGGCACCAAAATTAACAAAAAAATGTATAATTTTACCTCCATTTAGTCCCATGAGAGTATGTTTAGCAACAAAAGTATTTAGTCATACGGTACACGCCGGTATTTTATGTCATGTTTCACTAAATAATTTACCAGCCCCTGCAATACATACAGCCAATTTTATTGAAAAAATTGATACTCTTTTTGATATTTTCAATTCAGCTAAATATAATGATAAAAAATATAGAAAACCACTCACAATAAAATCTAATCATCATATTGAAAAATTAAATGAATTAATGCAATTTCTAAATGATATTAAAGTATTAAATAAAAGATTAATTAATCCATTATGTATAAATGGATGGATATCCAATATTAATGCTTTAAAATTGCTGTGGGATGATTTAAAAACAATTATAATTTTAAGTTCTTATTTACACGCCGTTTAACTCAAGATTGCGTGGAAAATTTATTCAGCATAATTAGATCGAAAGGTGGTAATAATGTTACACCTGATAGTGTAAAATTTCGTTGCAATCTTAGATTAAGGGGATGCTGGAGCGACGGGCCAACTCCGACGGGATAGCGCCCTCATCTAAACGGAATTAAAAAAATCGATAATGTCGGTAATTATCGACATTTTTAATTCCTGCATTACCATTTCTACATTACCGCAGAGAAAGAATTTCGCGACAATACTTTTTCGGCGATACTCGTACTACGCGCGCGCGAGACGTCGAGGAACCATTGTCCACGCGCCTCGTTATCTGAGGCTCGCCGCGGTGCCGCTCGCTGCCATGACAATTGTTTTTGGCATGTCACACACCGCTGCACGTCTCGCTAGCCGATCGATATTCATTGTCGCTAAGAGATCTGAGAAATAAAATGCTTTGGCCTGCCTAATCTGGCCTATCTTCTCAGTTTGACCCAATCAATTTGCATTTTTCGATTGGTTAGTTACTTGTCAGACACCCTTGGCTGCGTTCAGAAACACCACCCAAGTACCCCAGCGTATCATTCTATTCTTGTTGCTTACAGGCAAGGATAAAATGATACACTAGGGCATTTGGGTGATGTTTCTGAACGCAGTCCTACATGTACACGGAAGTGTAAAACATATTATATAATACAATATGTAACGTATACATCAGGGTGTTCCCGGGTTAAACGGCCAAACTTGAAAGATATATTTAGGACCTCAACGCAAGAAACATTTTCCTCTGGAAATATGCTCGTAAACGTTCCGTTCACGAGATATTGACTTCTGAAGTTATGAACTGTTAGGAACTGTTAGGAACTGTTATGAACTGTTAGGAATGAATAATTTCGAAAAAATGTAGATTTATCCTCTTTATTGCTTTTTAATAATAAAAATTTAATTATTAAATGTTTTGTTCAAAATGATGGCCTCCAGCTCGAAGACATGCATTGCACCTATCGATGACAGAATGAGTGGCTGACTGACATTGTGCGTCTGTAG